GGTAGCGCGGCCATGGTGCGGCGTCGTATTAGCAACAATTTACCCAATAATAGTTTTCTGATTCGTTTGTTTGAGAAGTTTAAAATAATAGTTCAGAATGAATGAAACAAAGGCTTGTGTTCCACGAATGTGCCCGCATGCCCTAAAACAATTATTCATTCAAGGAAACATTTGTGTTGCTTATCTCAATATCGCTAGGTAACATAACTCTTTTATTTCACGAACAGAACCATTTTCCATTTTTAACTTTTGCCTATTGTTATAAAAAGATTAGTTTATTCCGGTCGTGCCATAAAACAATGAATGAATCGAATGAATGGTGCTAGAGGTAATGCAACTGTGTATTGTAAGGCTTCACTGATCATTTTGATTGTACCGATTCTGTTTTTAGCCAAACGGAAATCGGTTTATATAAATATTTACGGCACGTATCTATAATAAGAACAAAACAATTTTTTTGTTTAGTTAACTTACAATAACGTTGTAAATTAGTTCGTCTGAAAAGAAATTTGCGAACTAATATTATAGAGCTATATTACCTACATGAACAATATGCACCGCCAATACAACAGAATATGCACTTCCTAATCCGGGCAAGTATTTATAACTCTTTAGAGAGGCGGCCAATTGCAAACAGTTCTATAGAAAATATGATTATGGTCAATATCTACTATCCACTTCAAGGCGGTTTTTGCGGTGGTTATTGATGATGATGATGATGTTTCATAGCATGTACCCTTCTTCGATAAATGTATTCTTATCTGACATAAATAGAATTATTACATTCGATCCAGTATTACTGGAGCTTAGCGCGATCAAACAAACAACTTCTGCGTGCTTTCACCCGCCGCCTCAGTTGAAGATGTTGTACAGCACACGACTAGCCTTTAGCCTTATATAGAGGTATAACCTTCCTCAATAAATTGACAATTCAGCATACAAAGAATTATTTAATTCGTGCCAGTGATTTCGGATATTAGCGCAAAACAAACAAACTCAATCAAATAAACTCTTCACCTAATATCGAGACATTTCAAAAACTGTGAACGATACAAAGTTGACCTACATGAAGATAAGTTACTGTTTGAATACATTGTCCCTCTCACCTGTTATCACGCCTCAATCTCTGAGGGGATAGGCAGAGACGCACATGTATGTATCATCCACTTTTTACCAATTATAATACGAAACCGATATATTAAGTGTTGAACCTACTTACTATAGAGGTATATACCGGGTACTATTCCAGACTTTGTTACTGACAAATGTCCGAAAAAGATAAGAAAAAATACATTACCCAGTCTGGGAATCGAACTCGAGACCCTTTGCTCACCAGGCTCGCTTGAGGCCACTTGACCAACGAGGTAATCTTCTATATAGTTAAAAGTAATCTTCATTTATTTGATGATCGGTACAATTTGTAAATGCATTAACATACCAACATTGCTTAAGTAGATCATTAAAATCGACAACATTATTAATTCTTATTCTGCTTAACGAACGGCGTTATTAGGTATTAATTCATTAAAAACCAATTAAGATATTGTTTTTGTAAAATAGGAATCCCTTAGTATGGAGTTTTTACGTGGACGTACACACATAATCAAATACCAATTAACGAGTAAATCTAGTATATAGTATGTGTATGTATTAACGATTTCGGAAACAGCTTCAACGATTTTCTTGAAATGTTGTATTTGGGGGTTCGGGTGCGATAAATCGATCTAGCTAGGTTTAACATTGAGGACACATCGTTGACTAAAATAACAGCGAGTAAAGCTCGGAAGATGTCAAAGTTGACTTCTTATATCTATTATAGTATTGCGTTCCAAATTTTACCTATGATTTTACTAAAATTAAATATTTTCTGACAAAACAAACAAAAAAGTAGAAATCGTTCACGCGTGTAGCAGTAACTAAAATAAATTGTCATTAATTAAATAACATCGATTGATGTAAGTAGATGCGAAGAATGATTTTAAATGTTTAAATGTATGTTCTTCAATTTACAAATGCTAATTTTTTACTGGAGCAATTCATTAAAATGATAATGAGTGCCCATGATAGACGCCAGTAGTCTAGAAACGGTCACCATAACCGAAACTGGCTTGAAAGGAATATTATTATCATCACTTTTGAAAAATTTAAGACAATCAGTTTTAAAAATATGAAGAAACACGAGACCAAAATCGTTTATTTAAACAAAAATAATAAATTAAACAAAAAACAAAAGAGCAGTGCAGAGAGTACCTAACGTGACGAAAAAGGGAGCCCCAAAGTGCAGGCAAGGAGTATTTTCACACTATTTTCGCCATATAATTTATAAAAGAGTATAAAAATGTATCTCCTTGATATGTGCTTACAGCTGCAAGAATAGGTAAAATAATTGCGCTGGTATAAATGCCACTAATCAGCAGTCTACTTGCTTATTGACATATCATATAAAAAACAGTATAATAATTAGTGACATCTTTTTGTATAATATTTTCTATCGTTATTTACTGGTGCAGTCCTCGTATTTGCTGTAAAAATAAGGTTCACAGTATCAAGCTACGTTGCTGGAGGCTGTTAAGAGCTTTTTCTTCGATCGTATATCGGTTCGTTAACGGAGCACGCGAGCTAGCATCGCGTATTATACTTGCTGCAGGTTATAGGATGTTAGCGTCTACTTATTATTATTTATTTTTTCATTTAATAACTGCCTCGTTGGCCGAGTGGTCGCAAGTGCGACTTTCGGGCAAGGGGTCTCGGGTTCGATTCCCGGGTTTTTAAAAAAAATCTCAGTTGTAGCACGGAACATGGAATTGTGTCCGGTATATGGCAATAGGCTCACCCCCTATGAAATGGGACTCATAACATAAATAGTGAAAAGGTTTGAGCATTAATCACCACACTTGCTCAATGCGGGTTTGCGATTTAGACTTATAATTAGAAATTATAAGCCCAGATTTCCTCACGATGTTTTCCTTCACCGTTTGTCAGTGGTGTCTAAATAATCTTAAAAAGTACATATAACTCAAAAAAAGTCACATTGGTACTTGCCGTTGGTAAGTTTCGAAGCCGCATTCTCATGCATGAAAAGCCAGCGTCTTAAACCTCCGGGCCAACACGACATTATGGTCTGGAATAACAAATAGGCTACTTTTTATCCCACGGGAATGCATGTGAAGCCGCTGGCTGAAACTAGTCATAACATAACTGTCGTGGAGAACCTAACGGGTAACCGGGGCTCCGGCTCGACGTGCAGGAGAAGGAACGGGGTGGTTTTTAGTCAATAAGAGTCTGACACTCTCTTCCCTCACCCAGGCGGGAGCAGTCATTCGATGATTTTCCTCCCTTAAAAAAAAAATCATAACATAACTGTCAAAAATTCTCATATATTTATTTTATTTATTTATCATTTCATGTACACCATACAAGAGACCATAATACAGAGGACAACACATTACAAGGATGAGGTACATAGATACTGCATATCTCGTTAGGGATGTCTCGGCAGACAGAAAAGGAATATAAACATTAGACACAGTGTAAAGGTTTTATATTAACTATCATTGTTATGTTGAATAGAACTTGGTGTAGTGGTACTGTGAAAAATGGCAATAAAAAAATATCGCTTCTGTTTATTCTGTGGGCGCGTCCCAGGTGAGCGGGTATCGATACATATAATATGTTGCTTTGTCGTTATGGCGCGCACTGCAGTTGTCGTATCGCTAACAAGCGTTCCTAGGAGGGCTCTTGTTCCAGTAAATACATTTTCGTACGTTATGTGCAGTCTCTTAGGCTAACATCAATGTTTGCCTGATTCCTAAGTTTAGTTTTACAAATTATCAGTACCTCGATTCACATAACTATAAATATACAAAAAAAAATTTGTACAGAACTCGCAGACAATCATCCCATGTTTGTGACACACTTGAAGTTATTATAGAAAACAATGAAGCATACAAATTCTTTTGATATAAAAATAATAAATAGATTATTCAATCGCGATACAAAATATGACGAGTGCAACTCTCAACTCAAATTAAAAAAAAATGTAACTGGTTCAGAAAAAAAATCTTATTCTTAATTCCTAGAGCTTTTACTGAACAAATGTTTGAACTTTCATGATGTGGTAATAGTTTTAGTAATAGTTATGTTTCTTATAGTAACTATACACCGTGAAATTTATTTCACTTTCGTCCCATGGTAAGGAAATATGTAATATTTATAGTTTAAAAAAATTCATGGGTATACGCATATGACACTAGTTGTAAATTTCTAGACACTATTTGCAACGCACGTGCTACCCGACGAAAAATACCTCTTCGAGAATTACAGGGCGTGATGTTTTGATAATGTACTATGAATTCGTATGCGCTTTTGAAGTTGGCTTTTTATGCCAGTTATTTTCGGTTTTAAACATTATATTTCTTTGTAAAACTATTGTATTAACCATTTTGCTTTGGGACAAAAACGAATTAGATTTGATGGTGTATCTAGTTCGTTTACTTAAAATAACTTGTTTGTGTATAAGAAGGTCGTATAATCAAAACTTAAGTTTGTTGTTGTGAAAAGATACGTAGGTACAATTGTACATTCTACCTTTATCAGAAATCAGGGTCATGTAATATATTACTGTGTGATTTGCTTTTGTAAAATCTCAGTAATAGTATCAGCTAAGCATGCAACCAAAACTTTACCTATTTCTTTGGCATAGTCTATCCAATCCTGTCACTTTGTATCAGTAATAGATATGTGTAATTACATAACCTAACATAACATCACGCCTTAAATCCCTGAAAGGGTAGGCAGATGTGTACATTAACCCAACCCGGGAATCGAACCCGAAACCCCTTGCACTTGCGACCACTCGGCCATCGAAGCAGTCAGCTATTGATATATTTCTGTGTTATATCGGGTGTATTATACTAAGAAGGTAGGATTTAAAATAAAACAAATGTTTTTTCTAAACTACTACTACAATACTATTTATTTCATTTAAAATTCACTTGAGATTACACTAACTTAGTGGTATCTACGCCGGCTTTCTGTAGCCAGTACATGAAGTCATTGTACAAGTCGTAATTGCGTTCGATACAACGTTCCTCGATACCACCCAACGCGTTCAGTAGCGAAGTAGCAAACTTCGAAAATGCTTCCGTCTGGACTGCGTTCTGGAACAATTGTCACTTTATAACTAACAGTGAATGTGCACATAATTCAAATACATAAGATATGTTAAAAATATATGCTTAGTGCTAGCATATTTCTACATGCCTGAGCACAATTGTCACGCTGCACTATGACACAGAACTTTTGTATCGTTTGACTTGAAATTAGTCGAGTTCTTCGTCAAGTAATTACGAGAGTCAGCCAAAAACACATAGTAATTAATTTAGCATATCTCACGAAAGTTATAATATAAATATTGTATCACAATTGAAAATATAACAAAAATTGTTGTAAACAGCAACATCGTAATACAGTAAAAATAGTAACTTCATTATTGACTACGCCGTAGTAATGAAGTGCTACGTCGAACAATTACATTTACTACGCCGTAGCACAAGACAAAAAAATATTATAATATTTTTGGATGCTGCTTGTGTGGATGATGTATTGCATCATAGCATAGCTTGTAATGAAGTAGTATTTCGTGTTTGGTCTATTTTTATTAACAAGAAAGATAATAATATTTGCTAAGATTTTGTGTATAATATTTAAAATACTGACAGTGTAACTGACAACAGCAGTTGCTGCTAGTCGACGTAGCAGCGTGAGCTCACAGCGTCGAACATGCGCACGAACATCTTCGACCAGTGCGTCGACCGTGCGAGCCTCGCCTGGAGCCACTGGCACCAACGTGGTAGATCCAGGAGTGCAAGCGCCCAGAGAGTCACAAACCTCCACCCAAACATTTATTCCACCCTCTGAAACAAATCAAAAGTAGATTTCCACATCAGTTTGTTCTTATTCCCTGCTAGATACAGGTTATAGATATATACCCCCAGAGAGATACATAGACGTGCCACACACTATGTTTAACTTTATGAAATTATGAAATCCCCTCTGAAGTGACCTCTGTAGCATTACTAAGAATTTCCAAAATACTTGTAAACCTATTTTTTTTCTAAAAGGGAATTATACTTTAATAAAGAAAAGAACGAGTCAGGCCCAACACAAGTATCGTATAATACCTTACTGGGACTACCTCAATATACAGAGTTATAGACGAAACATAAAAACCTTGCATGATTTTATTTCTACTACGTTTGTCTCTTTAACAATTCTTCAGATTTAAGGTCAACAAAGTATCCTAATCTTCATAAATATTTCCTACTTCCTACTAATATCAATCTTACTATAATATTATAAATGCGTAAGTTTGTGAATTTGTGGTGTTGGGATGAAATTTCATCATCATAAACAGCCTAAAAAAGGTTTGAGCATTAATCACCACGCTTGCTCAATGCGGGTTGGCGATTTCAAACTAATAATTAGAAATTATTAGCCCAGGTTTCCTCAAAATGTTTTCCTTCACCGTATATAACTCGGAAAAAGTCACATTGGTACTTGTCGTTGGTAGGTTTCGAACCCGCACCTTCATGCATTAGAAGCGGATGTCTTAAACCTCCGGGCCACCACGACACACGGGATGAAATTTAGCACAGGCGTAGATTATGGTCTGGAATAACACAGACTTTTTATACCGCTGGAATGCGGGTGAAGCCATTGGCAGTAGCTAGTATAATATTATAAATGTGTGTGTGTGTGTGCTTTCAAGGCCCGAGTGAATAGTTTTCTTATGCGATGACGTGCTCCATCGTAGACCGCATCATCGCTTACCAGGCGAGATAGTCTTCAACGTTTCACGACTATCAAATATTTAAAAAATGCGAAAGTTTCTATGTTTGTTGCAGGCAGAAGTTAATCATTCATACCCACCAATATAAGGTAAGAGAGTCTCCACCGCATTGTGCTCGAGATATGTGCCAAGTAACAAGGTGTCATTGTTGTTCAGGTCGCAGTAGAAGGTGTACTTCAACGGCTTGTTGACATCTACCACGCGATGTGTACTCAGACGGAATACCGTCTCCATTGCTGTCCCCATTTCTGGCGTCACCTGATTGTACATACATATTTTTAAATTTTTGTATTTTACATAGGCATATAATATGCATCGTAATTCATAATTATAATAAAATCGATACATTACTCCGTTTGTTCAGCATTCTTTTTAGCAAGGCCCAAAAACGGATTATTTATTTTTATCTATTGCTTTTGTCTCTGAAATCATTGGATGTTTGGACTAGTAAGACAAAGAGGTTGTAAATAATGTAACTATAATCTTAAAAATTTTACAACGGTTCGAAAAAACCAAAGTTTTGCAGAAAGGGTCGTTTGAAAACAAAACAACATTGTTTCTAATTTTAAAACTGAAATATCTTAAACTGTCAAACACCAAGCGGTCACCGGTGACCGCGACCTATTGTTCTTTAATTGTGTCTATAAAACCGGTACTCGACGAGTTAATCATTTAACAATACAAATTGCAAAATCGCAGGTATTTATTACCTGCGCTCTGTTTGCTTTGAATGCAGCGTCAAGTTTTTAAAAATTATTTAATTTAACTCCCTCCTACATTAATAAAGATTATATTATTTTTAAGAATTTTTCCACCTTTCTAGCATCTCGCATACATTTCTTATACTTGGATATAAATTCTTGATTCGTTTTACAGTCACTGAATACAGGTTATCCTAATAGCGTAAGTACATTTTTTGGTCAAAAAAAAAATGCTTGCTTTCTTTGGAAACTTACCAGGACATAGCCTGTATCGGGTCTTTCATTAAGCTCAAATATTACACCGGCGTATACTTCTCCTTCACTAGTGCAGTTCTCATCCTTCTTACAATTACACTCAGCTACGACCCTGACTCTGCCAGCCGCGGCTTCGAAGTTCACTGACACCGACTTCCAGCTAGTCTCATTGGTGTAATCCATCAGTTCGCTCAGAAAGTTTTGTTCAAGGGAATAAAAGTTTATTGGTGTAGAAATCTCAGTGCCATGCTGTTGAAAGATATAACATCGATCAGTGTGTACATTTATATAATAGGACATTGACTCCAACTTTTGCAAAGAAGGTTAATCACGATTTATTATTAAGAAGATAAAATCAAGCCTTCGTTTCTGTCGTATTACACTAAAATTCGCTCAAAAGTATACAACAAAAACAAAAGAAAATTAAAAGTTTGATTAAATAATTATAATAATAGCCAATCTGTCTATGTAAACACGTAACACATTTAATATATTTTTACATTTAGTGCGCAACAAAGATATACAAAAGCAATATGAGCCCTTAAAAAAATTTAAATTTGAGGGAGCAACGTTATAGCAAAAGATATTATTTATAGCAAAAGGTAGCTTAAGATTACTGTCTTAAAGTTCTATTTCTGTTTAGAAACTGTATTAAGTTTTATAAATCCTGTAACGTTTGATGTACTTGTAATGTTCTACTTTTTCAAAGCACAAAACTCAATTCCTTATTTAATTACTTACACAAGTAGTACGACTTGAAATATAAATTTCTTTTGCAATAAAAATGTAAATGAAATATGAGTACATTTGTGGCCTCAAACGGTTTCCATAAAGCCGTCAGTTTAGTAAGTACGTTAATGAAATAAACATGAAACAAGCTAACCACTACGTACTTATGACACGCAAACTACCACCTACTTATTGCCAATCCCACGCCTCGCTAATAAAAACAGTATTTACCTAATTCCATCAAAATTCTGACCGTTTTATAGAGTAACAAATAAACAGAGTATTTGTGAACTTTGTACATAGTAAACAAGTTCCATTAACTAATTTGTGTGATTAGTTTAATTGTAACAAATATTGGTGTGAGGACTTTACATAATTTATACTGAAAAGAATTACTTTATAATTAGTTACTAATTGAATGGCAATCCTATTTAAGATTACCAATAATGACGATTAGGGCTTAATGGTTTGTGGTTCTGTCCACAAAAAACTATTTATTGTACTGCTCAATAATTATTTTATTGTTTTGCTCCCGTAATATTAAGATAATGGGGCCTGTACTTTGGATGCCGTGGTTACGCAACTGGCTGCTGCGCAAAGAAAAATACTGACAAAACTTACCGGGTTATCAGCACAGATATCAGTTGCAGTGGAGAACTCTGACTCTAAGCAATGCTTACTCCTGAAGTACCACGTAATGGTACAACCTGGTACCACATGACTGACGTTGGCATGTATAGTAACCACAGTACCTTCGTTCACAACTCTCGGCATATGTTGTAACTGTCAAATGTTTGTGAAAAATCATAGTTATGAATATATCGATCATATTTACTCAGCCTCTGTTATATTAGAGGCGAACGATTGGATTATTAGGAGTGGTTTATGCAAAATGTTTTATGAAGTAGCATGATTGGTTTCGATTCACGATAGGGGCTTAAAGTCATGAGTAGCATTGCAAACAGTTTGGTAAATTAGGCGTTAAATGATTTAATAAATATCGGGAAAGGTATAGTACAAAAATGTCAAAACTTTTCAAATTCAATACTGATCTCGAATTATTGTTATTTGCTTCACATTGTTTTTGCAAACAATCGTCTGCTTTAAGTTAGTAAGCCAAGAGACAATCATTCATACTACTTTGTCGTCCTACCATCTAAAAAGAGGGTTTAAAAAACAAAAATGCATCATATCTACTAGTCAATTGAATTCCTTTCAAGAAACAAGACATAAAAATTAATAAAAGCGACCTCCCAAGACGTAAGACAGTCAATGAATTAAATCCTTAAAAAGGCTGCTTTAAATGTTTCATGGTACTTATTAAAAGTAATAATTACAAGTTTGCAAGTACCTGAATGACTGGTAATAGGGGATCCACAGCAATAACCCGAGTAATAGCTTTCTCTGAAATTGAATGTCTTCGCACATCCACCGTCACCTTCATCAAGTACCTATGGCAAATAAAATTAATAAAAAGAACATTACAGATATATGTAGATACAGAAGTCACAAGGTTTTCAGACGTCTAAAATGATGGTTAGTTTTTGTTTACAGCTTCACTCCTCGCATAGAATTCGATAGCGTAAATGACGATAAGTGTTTGATGGTAAAAACATCATCATCATATCAGCCACAAGATATCCATAGCCTTAGGCTTACCCCAATGATTTGGTAGCCCCAACGACCAGATAGGAAGTTTTAAAGCGAGCCACATCCTGCAACCTTGATTGGGTCATCTATGCATCTTGTGTCTGGACGTTCTGCGTTGCGTTTACCGGATTGTTACATACGTATATTGAATTATAAATAAAAGAGGAATTATCAGAACTTACTCTCCAGCATAAAGCAATCCCGATGGGAAATATAAATGGCCGTCGTCATCAGTCTGGTAGAATGTTTCCACCGGTTCACCACCGGTCGTGCATTCCCAAGCAATCTATAAAAGTATGCACTATATTGAGAACTATTTGATGTCTAAATATCAGTGTTATCAATTAGAGGAACTATTTTGCCTACACAAATTTTTTTCAAGGAAGGTATCCTTTTTTGTCTTAGGAAATAGTAATTAGTATTAAAATGATATTAAAATAACTTTCGATATACTGCCTCATTGATTGATTAATGACATTTGATTTCCAGGCTGGGGTAAGTATTTTCAAGTTGGTTTGAGTTTTCGAAAATCTCTCAGTGATCACACGAAATCTGGGAGTATTGCAATGACGTCAACTCCAATCACGTGGGACTTACATTTTAACTGCTGAAAAGTCGGTGTTAAATGGAACATGTGCGCAACTCGTTCGGGGATAAAAAAGATAACAATATAAAAGACATATTATACTAAGTAAGTGTCTATATATTGATGAATATTAATGACATAGATACAACGATAGTACAAGTTTTTGAAACTTACTGTCATACCCTCTCCTATATAGTCCAGTTTGTTGATGTCAGTAGATAGTTTCAAAGGACGCTCAGCTGATATGGACATGAGGTCTACATTAAAGTTTATAGTGACATTCCTATGTAGCACACGGAATGGGAGACTGCTCTGTAAGAAATATATGCGAATGAGGTCCAACATGAATTTCCAGCTTACATACTAAGGAATATTTATATCGTTTATTTGCCTATGTACTACGATACCTGTGTAATAAAAACTCCAGTAGAAGACTTGTATACTTGGCAGACCACATCATAGGATGCTCCAGGAGTTAGGGTGTTGGCTCGGATGACCAACCGGGAACCTTTTACGTCAGACACGGCCACACTACCCTCGGAGCTATTTACCGTCCAAACAAACTATGGAACAGAGAGAAAAATAATATATAAATATGTTGGCCGCAACCATAAACTACTGTAAGATGCTAAATTAACAAACAATGGACTTCGCCACGTCCGTGAACGCTGCTCACGAGGCAGGAGTAAGGTAGGCGTAGGCATAAGATTGCCTTTCGGTTTTCTACCGGATACATTTCGGTGAGTATGCGGGGAAATTGCACAACTTGATTCCCATTAGTCCTTTTCATCATCGTACCACAAAACATTCGGCGAACCGTCACCGATTCATGGTAGATGTCCCACCCATACGCACGAAGCGCTTCGCATCAAGCTTCCTTGTGCGTACTGCTTAGGAGTGGAATTCTTTGTCAGAGACTGTATTTCCTGAAATAACCTGGGTGTCTTCAAAGCACGAATGAATAGGTTTCTTATAGAACGACGTGCTCCATTGTATACCACATCACCGCTTACCACCAGGCGAGATAGTGATCATACGTGTCGGTCCATCAAATATAAAAAAACGTTTCTCATGGGGAAGAGTCCCTCTGTGATTCGAAAATAGTAGAGTTGTTGTCTGTTTAATAAATTACGAGACTGAACCGCTATTTTTAATTAAATCATAGGTTAGTTATTCTCATCATAGCGGGCAACTAAACGATTGAGTGAAGCATATTTTGTTAGTTCTATTTTTAATAAGATTTATTTCAATTGTCTGTTTTTCTGAAGTCAGTTAATTAGTATAATGAAACCATCTCCTTAGCGTCAGTTCAGCCAATCGCGAGATAATCGCGTACAAACATACATACATACATACACATACATACATACATACATACATACATACACATACATACATACATACATACATACATACATACATACATACACACATACATACATACATACATACATACATACATATATACATACATACATACATACATACACACATACATACATACATACAGACAAGTAAAACTGAGAATCGCCTTTTTTGAAGTCGGTTAAAAAGCAGTAAAAATTGAGACACTTACATAATAGTCGTGAGTCTTGTAGCATGTAGTGACTTGTGCTTCCAGTATAAAATCTATATCAGCATAGGCTAGCTGTCCCCCAAGCAGGGTGACGGAGAACATCTCTGATCGACCTTCCATGAGGAGCTTTGAGTCTCCTTTGATGTTATTAATTCGGAACTCTTTCTGCGTACCTACTTTATCGCGGTAGGTCGTGGCTGTCACGTTGAAGATGTAGGTGACACCACTGAGAAGCTGAAATAAAAAATAATCCTTCAAGAAGTCTTGAATAAAATAGTGAACATGAGACGAACCTTCACATTAAGAAAAGGAACAATTGGTATGCATATAATTGTACTGTAGGGATGTACAGTAACAGGCGTTGCACCGTGGGGGCTCCGGAGCAGGTCTCTTTTAGAGAGACCGGTGCTCCTTAATGGTGCTAAGGGGGCCACCTGGTGGTTTTAGTAAGGTACGAATCCCACACTCTCTTGTCTTTATCCCCAAAAAGCTAAGCGCCATTTGAAGGTTTATGAGACGACGTGCTCCATTATAGACCTCATCACCGCATACCACCAGGCGAGATAGTGATCAAACGTGTCGGTCCATTAAATATAAAAAACGTTTCTCATGGGGAAGAATCCCTCTGTGATTCGAAAATAGTAGAGTTGTTTTCAGTTTAATAAATTACGAGACTGAACCGCTATTTTTAATTAAATCATAGGTTAGTTATTCTCATCATAGCGGGCGACTAAACGATTGAGTGAAGCATATTTTGTTAGTTCTATTTTTAATAAGATTTATTTCAATTCTCTGTTTTTCTGAAGTCAGTTAATTAGTAAAATAAAAACTTATCCTTAGCGTCAGTTCAGCCAATCGCGAGATAATCGCGTACAAACATACATACATACATACATACATACATACGTACATACATACATACATACATACTTTACAATTGTATAATTTTAATGAAATTATCACTTGATAGACAAAATATGCTTCTATCAACTTATTCGAAACTGAACAGCTATTTGGATGCAGAACAATATAAAAAAAATGTTCATGATTCATGTTTCATCATTTTCATGTTTAATCAACATCATCATAATCATTAAGAATATTAACGTTGCAACGCATAAAACAACAGAGCACAACAAGTAGCGACATCTTTTGAGCAATATCAGAAGGTGTCACGATCCTAAGCGGTGACGAAAGCGCGTAAGAAGCGAGCAAAACCAGATCAAATAAACTATTCTTAACATTTACATAAATTATTCTAAATACTTAATATTGCTAAGATATTTTCGTGTGACAAAAACAGAGGGAAGATTAGTGGTATGTGTTATGGAAGAAAAAAATTTAATGTAAAATCAGTTGGTGGACTGAAGAATTCAGCATGATGATAATATCAACTACAAGACCTCCTCTGATGAACATAGACCACCTCTAAAACTACGAAATCAACCAACCACGAAAGAAGCAACCTTCTGGATAGATCATACGTTTGTATGATTGATGATATGATGATATGATCATGAAAATTATTGGATTCAATAAGTTGTTATTGAATCCAATAATTTTAGCGTTTGAATCCAATAGCTGTAGCGACTTTCTGAATAAAAATTTCTGATCATTCTAAAGCGTTATTAATAAAAAAATGATGAATACTTCAGTGTTTTTGATAACGAAGACGTTTGGTTCCATCGGAAGATCATTCAGTTGGCTTTCCAGTTCTCGTACGTTGCGCCATAGAGCCAGAGTGAACTGCTGGGATGGTGCATCCAGCGTCTCCCAGCGAACAGTCCATAGGTACTCCACTGGAATATCGCTGTCTGTTTGCAACCTAAAATAGATTTTTTATAGTGAGAAGTTACGGACTAATATAATATTTAAAATTTGATTTTTTTACTATAATAGCAATTTACATACCACTAGCGACATCTGTTATCATTCATAGTAAACTCATTACTACCATATATTCATTTACTGAGCAAACTGTTCAGTAATGACATATCATTTTAGGATTGAATAATTATTTAAAATAATCTTGCAATTTGATTATAACGATGTCCTCGTATTATATCGTTTTGTAGTTTACAAGGCAAGAATTCTTGTAATCGTATGGTGATGTAACAACAAATCATTGTAATATTTTACTCGACATGTTTTCTTCTGTCTATATGTCTTGTATGTAAGTACTAACAAACGCAATGATTATTCAATGTGCTTTGTGGAAATTTATATTGGTCATTTGGATTTATATCCTAAAGTTCTTCAAAGAATGTTATTCTTTTGATTTAATAAATTATCATCAGATATTTAGGTACACCCAGGTTGATTTTTTTTTTACTAAATTGAACAGAAATTACGATTATGCAAACTAATTATGTATACTAAATTTCATCATTTGCAAATATGCAAAAAAAATATTGTAATGAAATAAAATGAAACTCTCGTATTGTTCAGACATATTATTTACACATTTTATTTTATCAATAATGGCATACGCTATTGCATTCAGCATTAGTTCCTGTAATGATAGTAGTATGTACATACATAGTTAATAAATAAATAAATAAAAATATTACTAATTTATCGTGATTAGCCATATAAAGTAAATCTAGCATCATATCATTACATAATAAACATACGAGAATATTCTTCTCTAATCAAAGAAACTAATAACAAGAGCTGTTTGTGCTGTTGTTGTTAGATTATTTGCTAATAACAGGCTGTCACGCAAACCCTCCATAATATTGCTTACTGAGGGAAATCCTTACTAATATTATAAATCGGAAAGTGAGTTTGTTTCTTTGTTTTTTGTTCCACTTTCACGCCGTAACTACTGAACCGATTGCTTTGAATTTTTGCAGACATAAAGTAAGAAGACTGGATTAAATAATAGGGTACTTTTTATCCCGGAAAAATTTGATATTCCCGAGGGAAAACAAAAGTATTGGTATAGATGGCGCTGTGTGTATTGATATATGTCACATAGGCTACTTTTTATCCTTTTGTGACGCAAGCAAAGCCGCAGGTAAAAGCTATATCTAATATTGTGTTGTTGTCATAAAACTAGAACCCGTCTCCTGGTTTGCTTTGATATTTTTTGTAATAATAATTATGCCTCGTTGGCCGAATGGTCGCAAGTGTCTCAATGGTCTCGGTTTCGATTTCCGGATTGGGCAAAGTATTACTGGGTTTAAAAAAAATATCTCAGTAGTAGCACGGAGTCTGGAATTGTGCCTGGTATATGGCAATAGGCTCACCCCCTATTACCTCTACATGGGACTCATTACATTGTACAGTGGCATAATGTGCACCTCTGCCTACCCATTCGGGGATAAAGGACGTTGTTATGTTAATGTATGTTATGTTATGTTAATAATTACATTTTTTTCATATCCTACTTTCTCCTATTCATATAAATACGTAAGTTTGTGAGGTACCTCCTCACTGTGTGTGTGTGTGTGTTTATTACTCTTCCTTATCAAGACGGCTGAAGGTATCGGGAAGATATTTTAAACAGGATAGATTATGGTGTAGAATAACATATAGGTGACTTTTTACGCCATTAAATCGCGGGCGAAGCCGCTGGCATCATCAACAGCCTATAAATGCCCACTGCTGAGCAAAGCCTTTTCACACACGCAGAAGGTTTGAGCACTAATCACCACGCTTGCTCAATGCGGGTTGGTGATTACAAACTTATAATTAGAAATTATAAGCCCAGGTTTCCTCACGATGTTTTCCTTCACCGTTTGCCAGTGGTGTCTAAATAATCTTAGAAAGTACATATAACTCGGAAAAAGTCACATTGGTACTTGCCGTTGATAGGTTTCGAACCCGCACCCTCATGCATTAGAAGCGGGCGTCTTAAAGCTCCGGGCCATAACGACATTTTATTATACATTTATTACATTAGTAGATATAGAGGTAGTTCATTAAAATTAATTCTGCAATTTCGTTAATGCATATCTTATACTATTATATAAAGCAGAAGAGTTTGTTTTTTTTGTTTGTTTGTTTGAAAAACAAAAAAAAACTCCGTATCTCCGTAACTACAAGTTCGATTTGAATAATTCATTTTGTGTTGGATAGCGCATTTATCGAGATGGCTATAAGCTATAAAACATCACGCTACGACCAATAGGAGCTGAGCAGAGCGTGTGATACCGCGTGGAAGTAGCTAGTTATTGTATAAAGTTATTCTTCATAAGAGGTTTGTCATTATCCCATTGACTGAAATACAGCTAACCCTATAACGGCCTTTAAACCAATATCATTAATTAAGATCTATTTTTGACAGTATTTCCATACAACTAATGAAGAACATATCGCCCACTTCTCATGCATGAAGGTGCGGGTTCGAAACCTACCATCGGCAAGTACCAATGTGACTTTTTCCGAGTTATATGTACTTTCTAAGATTATTTAGACACCACTGACAAACGGTGAAGGAAAAACATCGTGAGGAAACCTGAACTTATAATTTCTAATTATAAGTTTGAAATCGCCAACCCGCATTGAGCCAGCGTGGTGATTAATGCTCTAACCTTCTCCGTGTGAGAAGAGGCTTTGCTCAGCAGTGGGCATTTATAGGCTGTTGATGATGATGATGAATGAAGAACATTATATCTCTCATTTATGCCCAGATCTAAGTTGTATAAGTTTGGACAAACATACAGACAAATGTGTATAGTTAGTTCATGACAAAAATGTTACTTACGTTATAATTGTAGTGTCCGGTTTGTCTATTACAGCATCCTTATCTTTGGGGCAGACGAAGGCAGGCGCCAAGATACGAAAATTTGGCACTTCACCCACCTGTGTGTGAGAAAATAAACAAGTAATACCGATACAAAAAAAAATTACGTTTTTTTTTAAAAAGAAAACATTGTCCCACTCTAGGATTTTCTCCTGTGCCGTGGGTGCGTTTACAAACATACAAATTCACATACACATGACACCGACCCGAAACAACAATTTGTGGATCACACAGAGTGTTGTTCCGTGCGGGAATCGAACCCGCGACACGCTGCACGGCAGCCGGTTGCGCAGCCACCGCACCAACCGTGCAGTTGTTAAACGGTCTTAAGGAAGTACTGGTGGATGTATGTATGTGTATATGAACCTATATTATATGGTTATCAAGATTAAGAGTATATACCAAATATCAGATCGATATGTCGTTAGAAAGACGGTAAATTTTTTTTTCATATTGCTAGTATATTATAATTATCTATTGTAGGTTTTTTATTTTGTCTTTTTTAGTGTAAACTCAACTACCCCATATCTGGTTTCTTATAAATACTTCCATCCAAAGGTTGTCTGGAAGAAATCACCATTGTGTTATAAGACCGCCCATTGTACGCATATTTACTTGTTGTTTGTTTGATTTTAAACTACTTAAATGTGTACAATAAAGCATATATAAATAAATAAAACTCCAATTACTAAATTTGAGTTTAACAAACAGGGCAATCTAAATAAACCAGTTTAATATCCTAGTGTAATATATTATTATGAACCTAGTATAATATCACGAATTCTAATTAATAAAAGGGCAGAGTTTCACATAATCAATAATACCTTTTTACCAGTCAAAATCAAAGCCAAATCGTTTATTCAAATTAGATCAATAACATCAACAGCTTATAAATTCCCAATACTGAGCAAAGCCTCTTCTCATATGGAGAAGGTTAAAGCAATAATCACCACGCTTGCTCAATGCGGGTTGGCGATTTCAAATTAGAAATTATAAGCCCAGGTTTCCTTACGGCTTTTTCCTTCACCGTTGGTCAGTGGTATCTAAATAATCTTAGAAAGTACATATAACTCGGAAAAAGTCACATTGGTACCTGCCGTTGGTAGGTTTCGAACCCACACCCTCATACATGAGAAGCAGGCGTCTTCAACCTCCGGGCCACCACGACAGTTTTAAAAACCAAACTAAATACTTAAAGGTTAAAGTGTTAGTTTGTCTGTCAGCCAGTGAAGCTATGTAATAAAGAGCTTATTGCCGGAGTCGAAAAAGATACTCTTTGCTTAGTAGACATAACATAACATAACATAACATAACATCAGCCTTTCAGCCCCGAAGAGGTAGAAAGAGATGCACTTAATGACACTATACAATGTAACACCCACTTTTCATTATTTATGTTATGAGTCCCATGTAATAGAGGGTGAGCCTATCGCCATATATTGGGTACATTTTTTGACTCCGTGCTACTGAGTTTTTTTTTAAATACTTTACCTGACCCGGGAATCGAACCCGAGATCCCTTGCAACCTCACACTTGCGACCAAAGTCAATGCTTAGTAGAATGAAATAAAAAGTTTCATTGTTCAATAACAACTATAATACTGAACTGATTCAATCTAGTTGGAAACTCCTCTATAGTTTTACAATAAGCTAATAAGAACCTATTCTATATTTTTAGTTTCAGTAGATTGTAATTTCCATCTGCAAAATAACTGACTCAACACTTTATGAGACGTGAATCGAACTAGCGGCACCTTAATAATTTCCGAGCCGTAGTGCAATCCTAACTGCTGTATTATTAACACTTTGGTACATTGTCACGTTTTAGATTATAATCTCCATTTTAATAAAATTACTTCACAATTTTGACTCGACCACGATACAAGGTATTTCTAAGGCTCGCCATTTGTGCCGATGGGGGTTGGTCACGCAACCTTACAACTGCCGTAGTAAATACTACACCGCTACGACTTTGTATGGCATCTTATAAGTTGTAAGCCGGCGGCTACGACCGTAGCAAATTACGTAGCCAGTTACTACGGCGTAGGTATTTTTGTATGAACGTAATAATTATAATTTTATTTTTGTAAGTGAATTGTTAACATATTTCTCGCTGTAAATGGTGTTAGTTATGTAGATTATGAGTTTTCTTACTGTGCCAATGGCTACAATGTGACACAAACAAAGACGTGCTTTTGTTTTTGAGAAATTATAATTTAGTTCTTTAGCTACTTGGCAAATTATTACTGACGAGCCTCGAGTTCGATTCCCGGGTCGAGCAAAGTATTACTGAGTTTTTTTTTCAATCCTCTATAGTAGCACGGGGTCTGGAATTAGCATACCCGGTATATGGCAATAGGCTCACGCCCTATTACATGGGACTCATATCACTATTCATGTTATGACAGTGGCATTAAATGCCGTAATGTGCACCTCTGCCTACACCTTCGGGAATAAAGGGCGTGATGTTATATGTGGTGCGTGACCCCAATCTGTTGTGTTTATCAAATAAATGGTAATTATGACATATTGCACAACTTCCCTGGACTTTGAGATTGTATGACATAAAAGACGTTCTCTTTTGACTGCACGGTTGGCGCGGTGGCTGGGCAACTGGCTGCCGTGCAATGTGTCGCGGGTTCGATTCCCGCACGGAACAACTCCACTGTGTGTGATCCACAGATTGTTTTTCCGGGTCTGGGTGTCATGTGTATGTGAACTTGTATGTTTGTAAACGCACCCACGACACAGGAGAAAATCCTAGTGTGGGGCAACGTTTTTTTAAAAAAAGAAAATGGTCAAATCTCTTACTGAGTTTTGAAAAATATGAAAATAGGAATTTGAACTCGAAAGCTGTTTATTTTTTTCTCCTTTTAACATTTGATTGGTCGACGTTTTTTTACGCAGTTTTCATTTCCGAGTAGGTATGACTGTAGTGTACGTATATAGGCTCCAGTGGTGCGGTCACTGTATCGTGACGTCAAAGCAAGTGGTCAATAGCTCGCGTGACTAGAGTGCTGCCCCAATTTCGACCAGAGTATCACCATTGCATAATGGGGAAAATACGACCCTATTTTTCCACAATTTTCCCATCAGTAATGTCGTGTCGTGGGAGAATTTATTGATACTGTTGTTTACCTTGCTGCTGACTCGTTATTAGAATTGTCGTTCGAATGTCGAGCAAGGAGTCTTAAGTTCAATTCTCACGCCGAGCAAAGTATTATTTTCTTATTCGGTTTTTCAACACGTATAGTACCAATTTAAACAATAGCGCTTTAGAAAAAAGAAAAAAAATATATCACCATTTTTAAATAACCTAATTCTACTAAGCAAGCTCTATCGTTTGATATTCATAATATTGAGTATTTGTGGAATGAAATAGATTATATTGTATGGTCACCAAGATAAAGAATTTTGTAATAAATACCAGATCGGTCTGTCGTCAGGAAGGGGGTAAAATTCCAATTGCTTTTGGTTATAAGTGGGTGTTACATTGTATGTAGGTATAATCAAAATGTGTGCACCTCAACCTACCTCTTCAGAGATTAAAAAGCGTGATGTTATGTCTGTTTATTTTAAATTTAATATTACAGATAGCAGTAATAAGTAATAATCAAAATATTCACCAAACAGAGATTTTGAATAAACTTGTACAACATCTGTCGTTGCTAGTTATCCTCTGAATACAATTTATCTAATTTCAATAACTAATATGTAATTCGTAAATTAAATATCATGTCACAAAAACATTTACATAGTTTAAATGAAATAATTGATTTAGTCAAATGTTAAAACGGCTATAGATATAATATTCATAATAAACATTGCTATAATTCATTAGTGATTCCTTATTTACTCTTTAATTTTATACAAAATATATCTATACAAAGTATTACTGGGTTTTAAAGAAAATCTCAGTAGTAGCACGGAGTCTGGAATTGTGCCCGGTATATGGTAATAGGCTCACCCCCTATTACATGGTACTCATAACATAAAATAGTGAAAAGTGGGTGTTACATGGTACGGTGGCATTAAGTGCCGTAATGTGCACCTATGTCTACCCCTTCGGTGATAAAAAGCGTGATGTTGTGTTATACATTTTACTAAATAAACCTCGCAATGTTCATTATATTTAAGAAAACATACTTATTGAGCATGAGCTTAAAACATGAAACTATTACTACTATTGAACTGTGCACTTAAAAAAATACAAAATAACTTTTTTCTTCTTTGTTTGCCACTGAAATTTGATCAATAAAAGTATGAGCAATATGGTCTAGTTTTCACAAATGAGTACAAATTTGGTCCCAAGTAACGCCAGTAAACTAGGTGTTAGCCAATAAATATAGATAGTATTTCTCCTGGGATAGCACACGGCAATATAAATGTACCAAGCTAATTTCAACCGTATTGCAAATATAATAGGTTTCATCCCGCTTTGCAAACTATTTTAATTAAAATAATTGTTAATAAATTAAATATCATATCAATAATTCGATAGTAATTGCTACAAAACAGTATTTAATGTAAACAAATTCGCATAATATTAATTCGTATTGGCACAGGTTTTATACGAACTTACTTTGTCTACGGAAATGAAACTAGATATTTATTTAACGCACAACAATTTTAAATATCAACACACGCACTAAAACTCTATAAAACATTGAACACGCCAATATAAAACACAAGCAGACATGAGGAGGCAAAAAAACACTTGACCGCATTACAACATAACCCGCGCATCGACACACAATTTTGGACCTTAAAGCTGATATAAAATGCACAAAAACTCACCACATTTTCAATGAAGATCGCCGAAGCGCAAAGCACGAGTGCATTGATCAAAATCATGTTTGATTTTGAACTGCAGCCTTTGACACTACCGGCTTTTACACCCGCCGAAGTGCAATGGACGACGCAAGTGATTATTGCGACCGGCATGAATTACAGCTACCGCGACGATCGATATACTATAACAATTGAACGACCCGTTTCACTGGCAATTATTGGCTATTACCATGTTTAACCCGGGGTTAACAAATGTTAATAAATCAGGTTATTACAATTTTGCTACACGTATATGTAGAAGTGATACAATATTCTAGAATAATTGTTAGATAGGTTATGGACGTCGCTGCGCTTTGTGTACATAGAGGATGTTTTCGTTTGTACTTACGTTGTATTTTTTGTTAATTTGTTCTTATTTTTTTTTTTTGCTATCTGAAGAGGTAAGACAGTGTTGGAACTATATTTATGGTAAAATATTCTCCACTTGCAATATTTGTCCATTGCAATGCAGCATCCCATTGTAAAACCTGTTCTTAATGACTCCTATTCAATTACCAGACAATGTACTTATGTACATTTAGGTAACTTTATTGTGATGCTAATTAATAATAATGACATTCACTGCTTGTTTCAAGAGTCGCTTATTAGGAGACGAAATACCAGTACCAGATGTATGCCTTAAGTTAATATTAATAGAGTATATTTTTCTCTAACAGTCCTAGAGATTTTAGAATAGCTTCACCGTTTTAGTTTTTTTATTTGCCAAATTGACAATTTGACACAAACTAAATAAGCATATATAAAACATTTACTAAAACTTTTTGTCACAGTGTTTTACATCGGAATATAATGTCATTTTATAGTTTGTCACACAACCTTGTCAAAGTAGATGATAGTAAGGTGAACGGGCCGAGGTGCGGCCAAACAGTACATCAGAATGCCGCTAGGGGACGCTGTACATAAATTCATGTGTTTACAAATAAATTAGTCGCACGATATTATGGAAGTGTAAAAGTTACATGCGTGACAAATGGAGAATTTCTTTTTACGAAGTTAAACGTTAGATATTAAAAAAAAACTTTGATGTTATTTGATTAAAGTTAAGTTAAGATCCAATATTTATATCGTGTGACGTCACGATTTACTACATTTTACAGGGTAACGTGACGTAACAACCTGCCTTTCCTAAAGTTAACATCGTTTTATTTAAGTACTGTATTCTTATACGATAAAATAAAAAAAATGTGTCTAATATTTTATCATTATCTAACTGACGGACTAAATACATTTTTAATTTTCATACACTGTAGACAGTGTAGACTACGCTATTAATTTAGAATATCTAAGGATAATTATTATTGCACGATGTAGAGGTATAAGTAATTATTGTGTTTTTCGGCTTACTTAAGTAATTATTTGACAAGAAGCTCGACTAGTTTCAAGCCATGCTACATGCTCGTAGTAACGCAACAGTCGCTGCATCGCGGATCGCGGAATACTGCTCATGAATATGACGCTCTAACATGGCTTGAAACTAGTCGAGTTCCTCGTCAAATAATAACGTGAGTATTAAGCCGAATAACATAATAATTAATTAAGTACGTGTATCTCATGAAAGATATAATGTTAAATTATATCATTTTTGATACATTTTAGAGCACTCTGTGTAAACTGCATTCGACTTGACACGAGAGTCAACGAGCACTTAATTCAATAAGGGCAAAGCCCAAAGAGGTTACGCTGCCGGTGAACTTTGCAAATATCTATGTTATTAGTTAGATATCATATCAAATAAATTATTATGTTTTTGGCATTTCGCGTCGCAGGTCGCGATTTCAATTTAAGAATTTAATTTATCAATTATTTCTATTTTTCCGCTTTGTCAATTCTTGATTTTCAACAACAGTAGTTTATTTTTTTATTTTGAATTGGAGTCATTATTGATTATTGGAAATTGTAAGTTAGTTTGTCTTGTTTTAATTTGGAATCATTAGCAAAGGTTGTGATTTGATTGTCCGTTCTAACTTAGAATCATTTTTGAAAATTGTGATTTGTTTGGTAAACTATTTGCATGTCGAATTTATAGGCGGGATGATGAACTATTGTTATGTTATAAACTCTGTAAACCACCATATTTCAGGCAAATAAATGAATCTGTCTATCTTTCTACGTGTAAAAAAACCGACATCCACCCCCTCTTTTTTTAAGTTGGTTAACTAATATACTAAGACTATTTCCTAAGCATAACAAACATCAGGCCTGCGAACGGCGAGCACGGGTAACTCGCCGCCTGACCAGAACCAGGCTCGAGCGTACGGCGCGTCGCGTTCCGCGCACGCCTATTAAGGAGCCATCAGACCACCACAGATGGGGCCCAAAGGGGCTGTTGCCTATACGGAGCCGCGGTGAACCTAAAGGGTTACCGGGGCTGATTTTCACCCCTCAAAAATAAAAAGGCGTAACAAACACTTTTCTGAAAATGGCATCAAAATAAACACAAGTACAAACAGGTCAAAACGAGAACTACCTTTATTTCTTTTTCTTTTGAACTCGGTTACAAAGCAGTCGCATTGTCGCACTGACCGCTATTGTGTTCAATAATGACCACAACAACAACTAACTACCTGAGTCAATACCCCATGGGTTTAACTACTAGGCTATCCTAAATCGCGCTATTAAAGTTTTCGGAGCTCGCTGCTTACACTACGGCGGCGATGTAAAAGCTGTAGGGAGTCCGTTTCTTCGCAGGGACGTAGTTTAGTGGAGCTACTCTAAGTCCACTGCCACCCGGCATTTATATTAGTGTACGCTTTCTTAGCTATCACTCCGCCTGTGTACTCGAGGAGCTCGATGTTGATACTATGTAGTACCATAGGAGTCCATCGAGCCGAACGATTCTCAGGAATAAGTAAACCAATGAATAAAGTGATACCTACTATAAACACGTGTACCAACACCAGGTCCACGTGTTTAGGTATTACACACCCACTGCGAGGAATATGCGACTCCTTTTTTTATTAACTAATAAAAAAATTAGTTCACTATCTTGTTTTGTGGAAGTGTCACGGGATTTTTTTTATATTCAAACCTTCTCCCGACTAGAATGACAACGACAAAGAAAGGATAATGACTACCAACATTATTATTACGTTTAAAAAAACCGACTTAAACCCCCTCTTTTTTTGAAGTTGGTTAACTAATATACTTAAACCATTTCCTAATCGTAACAAACACTTTTCTGAAAACCGCATCAAAATAAATATAAGTACATACGTCGCGGTGGCTCGGCGGTTTACGACGCACTTCTCATACATGAGGGTGCTGGTTCGAAACAAATTATCAACCCCAAAGTCAAAGTCAAAATCATTTATTTCAAATAGGCCACAATGGCACTTTTGAACGTTAACAAAAACAAAAAGTGAAGATATTTACTCATTCCAAGATTCCTATAGAGAAGAACGAGCAAGAAACTCCATAGGTAACACGAGGTAGCTACTGGTAACCGCCGAGGAGTTCCCTTATCTGTCTTACTACTTCAGCATCAGACCCTTAATGATAATCACATCCCATCTAGGTGTAACGTACCCATCAATACAAATTATCAAAATCAAACACAACATAGCTACTGGTAACCAGAATAAAATTTAATAAATTTAATGGTTAAATCGTAATAATTTATTCTAATTTAGTAAAATATAGTAATTAAGTGTTATAAACAGTGTAATTCATGAACTTCTACGGTGTAATTATACAAATAAATGTTATTTGTGATATCGTCTGACAACCTGTCAAAGGAACAACGACTACGGTGGATTTGAAATCACAAAAACCGGGGGAGTATTGTATTTTTCTTCCATTTATTATTGTTATAACATAGTTAACGGTGTACAGTGTGGCTATAATTGGAATAAAAACACCACTTTTAAGTCTACTCTACTCAAGTCTTTGAGTAATGTCCCGTACACACCGGCACCGTTTATGTCTCCTTTTGCTTGACAATAAGTGAAAGTAGAATCGATCGACTAAAACATAGCCCAGACAAGTAAAAACACTACATAACTGTCTGCACATTAACACATTAGACCACTACCATACTGAAATTTCAATATATCTACTAGGTACTAGTCTACCCACTGAACTTTATTTTGTTTTCTGACCTTTCATACTAAGTACTCATTACTAGTTTGTTTTGTTGTAATATTTTTTTCTATTACTCTGTAATCATAATAGTTTTAATCTGTTTGCATTCCATTTATTAATCCTCTTACTTAAATTTACCTTTTTATCTAAAATATTTTTATTTTCGGTCTACCTTCATTGTCCACAAACAAGTATTATTTTCTTAAATTATTGCCAACACTTAGCTTCTGTTTCACATTTCAGGAAGTGAGCTATACACCAGCAACATGATGACACGCAGGGCTACCACCGTAAAGGACCTAGAAGACAAACTGCGGCTGACTCTAAAGGAACTGGAGACCTCAAAACATCTATGCAACCAACTATTGAATACAAGAACGAGAGGATAGTGAAATCGAAGTTAAGAACATAATCGATAAGAACACATCCCTCAAGAACGAACTGGCTGAATTACATGTCCAGTATATGGACATACTCGACCAACACAACCAGCTGCAGTACACCGTCTCTACGTTCCAGGAGTGTAGTGATACACACTTGTCAGCCTTAAACTGTCAAACACCAAGCGGTCACCGGTGACCGCGAGCTATTGTTCTTTAATTGTGTCTATAAAACCGGTACTCGACGAGTTAAACAGAATTGCCGAATTAGAGTCAGAATTGTGCGATGCCCATAGGATAATCTCTTCCTCGCAAATAAAGAAATTTGAAGAACAAAATACACACACTCATACATTGTTCGATGATTTAGTAGGTAGTAGGTTACACTGTGAGGTACCAGAGCCAGTGACAATTGATCTGACTGGTGACGACATCGACACTGTACACATATGCCCCTTCAAATCACATAATAAATTAAAAAAGTATATTAAAATTAATAAGTTAATTAAACGAACTCAGAAATCACTTAAAAAACATAAATTAAGAAAAGTGAACCTGAGTCTAAGAAAAGATAAAATTAATTTAATTCGAGATCTTCAATCTTGCACCACTGAGCTTGACCGCTGTAGATTA